TTTTCGGGGTGCCCCCGTCCCCCCGCAGGGCGTGGACTCGCTGGTGCTGGAGAGCGTCATGTTCGCCATCCTGGCGGAGCGCGCGCTGGGCCCGCGCCTCTTCGGGGTGTTCCCGCAGGGCCGGCTGGAGGAGTACATCCCGGTAGGATCGGGGGTCCCCCCGGCCCCCCGCGCCCCCCGCGGGCGCCCCCGAACCCCCCGTGCCCCCCCAGAGCCGGCGGCTGCGCACCGAGGAGCTGCGGGAGCCGCGCGTCTCCGCCGAGATCGCCGTCACCATGGCGCGCTTCCACGGCATGGCCATGCCCTTCAACAAGGAGCCCAAGTGGCTCTTCGGGACCATGGAGGGGTCAGGGACCCAATCCCGCCGGGAACGGGGAGTGGGAGCCAAAATCCCGCTGGGAACGGGGAGTGGGAGCCAAAATCCCGCTGGGAACGGGGGCCAAAATCCCACTGGGAGCGGGGAGTGGGAGCCAAAATCCCACTGGGAGTGGGAGCCAAAATCCCGCTGGGAGAGGGGAGTGGGAGCCAAAATCCCGCTGGGAATGGGGAGTGGGAGCCAAAATCCCACTGGGAGTGGGGGCCAAAATCCCACTGGGAATGGGGAGTGGGAGCCAAAATCCCACTGGGAACGGGGGCCAAAATCCCGCTGGGAGCGGGGAGTGGGAGCCAAAATCCCGCTGGGAATGGGGCACAAATCCCACTGGGAATGGGGGCCAAATCCCGCTGGGAGCGGGGAGTGGGAGCCAAAATCCCGCTGGGAATGGGGGCCAAAATCCCGCTGGGAGAGGGGAGTGGGAGCCAAAATCCCACCGGGAACGGGGGCCAAAATCCCATGGGGAACAGGGAGTGGGAGCCAAAATCCCACTGGGAACGGGGGCCAAAATCCCACTGGGAGCAGGGAGTGAGGCACAAATCCCACTGGGAGTGGGGCACAAATCCCACTGGGAGTGGGGGCCAAAATCCCATGGGGAACGGGGAGTGGGAGCCAAAATCCCGCTGGGAATGGGGAGTGGGAGCCAAAATCCCACTGGGAGTGGGGAGTGGGAGCCAAAATCCCACTGGGAGTGGGGAGTGGGGGCCAAAATCCCATGGGGAACGGGGGCCAAAATCCCACTGGGAGTGGGGCACAAATCCCACTGGGAATGGGGGCCAAATCCCGCTGGGAGAGGGGAGTGGGAGCCAAAATCCCGCTGGGAATGGGGGCCAAAATCCCGCTGGGAATGGGGGCCAAAATCCCACTGGGAGTGGGGAGTGGGAGCCAAAATCCCACCGGGAACGGGGGCCAAAATCCCACTGGGAGTGGGGAGTGAGGCACAAATCCTGTGGGGAGTGGGGCACAAATCCCACTGGGAAAGGGGTATGGGGGCACAAATCCCACTGGGAGTGGGAACCCCAAACCCCATTGGGATCAGGGAGTGGGGACCCCAAACCCCATTGGGATCAGGGAATTGGGGACCCCAAACCCCACTGGGATCAGGGAATTGGGGACCCAAACCCCAGTGGGATCAGGGAGTGGGGACCCCAAATCCCACTGGGATCAGGGAATTGGAGACCCCAAATCCCATTGGGATCAGGGAATTGGGAACCCCAAACCCCACTGGGATCAGGGAGTGGGAACCCCANCCCCAAATCCCATTGGGATCAGGGAATTGGGAACCCCAAACCCCACTGGGATCAGGGAGTGGGAACCCCAAACCCCACTGGGATCAGGGAATTGGGGACCCCAAACCCCACTGGGATCAGGGAATTGGGGACCCAAACCCCACTGGGATCAGGGAGTGGGAACCCCAAATCCCATTGGGATCAGGGAATTGGGAACCCCAAACCCCATTGGGATCAGGGAATTGGGGACCCAAACCCCATTGGGATCAGGGAATTGGGGACCCAAACCCCACTGGGATCAGGGAACTGGGAACCCCAAACCCCACTGGGATCAGGGAGTGGGGACCCCAAACCCCATTGGGATCAGGGAATTGGGGACCCAAACCCCAGTGGGACCCTGATGTTTCCTGGCTGCTTCCAGCAGGTCCCATGGGACCCCGAGGGGACACTGGGTGACCCTGGGGTGGCCGGGGCTGGGCAGGGGTCGCTGGGGGGCTGTCCCCAGCCTGTCCCGGGTGTCCCCGCGCTGTCCCCTCTGTCCCCACGGTGCCGTGTCCCCAGGTACCTGCGGCAGATCTCGGAGCTGACCTTCTCGGAGCCGGCGCAGCTGCAGCAGCTGGAGCAGCTCCGGGGTTACAACCTGGAGCAGGAGATGAGGAGCCTCAGGTCACTGCCACCCCCTCCGTGTCCCTTACTGTCCCCTGGTGTCCCCACCCGGCCCCGCGGGACCCCCAGGGCAGCCATCCTGCGGCTCCGGGCTGTCCGTGGTTCTGTCCTCCCCTCTGTCCCTCCTGTCCCCACCTTGACCTCGCATCCCCGGTGTCCCCCGTGTCCCCTGTGTGTCCCCCGTGTCCCCGGTGTGTCCCCCGTGTCCCCTGTGTGTCCCCCGTGTCCCCGGTGTGTCCCCCGTGTCCTCAGGGTGTCCCTGGTGTCTCCCCTGTGTCCCCTGTATCCGTGTCACCTCCACGTCCCGGTGTCACCCATGCCTTTGGTTCTGGGTGTCGCCTGTGTCCCATATCCCTGCATCCCCCGTGCCCCTGTGTCCCCCATATCCTTGGGGTGTCCCCCATGTCCCCGTGTCCCCATTTCCCTGGATCTCTGTGTCCCCAGTGTCCCTGTACCCCTGGCATCCCCCTGTCCCCATTTCCCTGGATCTCTGTGTCCCCGGTGTCCCTGTACCCTGGTGTCCCCTGTGTCCCCAGTTCCCTGCATCCCCCACGTCCCCATGTCCCTGGATCCCTGTGTCCCATTACCCCTATCCCCCATGTCCCTGTGTCCCCAATGTCCCTGTGTGCTGGATGTCCCCCATGTCCCTGTGTCCCCAATGTCCCTGGATCCCTGTGTCCTCTATCCCTGTATCCCCTCTGTCCCCAGTGTCCCTGTACCCCGGTGTCCTCTTTGTCCCCATATCCTGGGATCCCCCCTGTCCCCTGTCCCTGTC